CTGTTGAGAAGCAGTTCATAGGGAAAAGTTTCCATCCAAAAAGTTTCGAAAAACACTGCAGGGGAATGAATAGCTGTCCATCATCGCGCAACGAGCGTTGAATTTACGGCAGTTGAATTTCTTCAGTGATTTTTTATCAGAGTTTTTTTCTCGTCTTTTGTTGATCAGACTTGTCGATTGTCGAGTTTTCGACAGCGCTGTCTTCGGTGCAACTCTTTTAGCATCATTAACGCAGCTGGTGAGAGGTGCTCATGTAGGAGGAGTAGAGTAGTAGATTCGACATTGGAAATTTTATCTGTTTGACGCCGAAAACAGGCAGTTTAATGAACGAAGTTTGAATATTCCAGATGAATAATTATTCATATGGTGATGGAACTTCTTCAGCAAGAACCGAATCAATTGACGAGGAAGAATAAAATCGACCGAAGAACGGTTCTGACCACTACTACTACTAGTTCAAATACGACAAATTTTCAAGAAATTCATTTGAATGCGTAAAAAATGCGGAAAAAAAGGAATTTGTTTTTTTTTGTTCACGATTACTTTCTTCAAAATGTATCAATGTTTATTGACCAAGAAATATTCTTTGATCACCATAGATTGATGTTATCATTTACTTCTTCAGTTGTTTTAAAATTCGATTGTTTTNTTTTACTACATCAAAATCGAAGCTCTTCTCAAACAATTATCCACCGTGTATAGATAGACGACATCTTGCGGGTTCATTTGTCTTGTATGTGTAAGCGTTGTGATTTTAGATTCTGATATTACCAGTCGGCTATCGAATGATTTTGTTTTCGTTGAATTTTGTTCGTTTCTGTTGGTTTCCATTCCGAAATAAGAGCAAGAAAACAATCCGAAATAAGAAAATCAATGCAGAAGTAATCGCTTTACACCACAAGGCTTTTATATGATTCATTTTGCGTTTCGTGACAACTATCGTCAACAGTGTATCGATGTCCTCTGAGGAAAAAGGAAGAAATTTTCAGCTTAATACTTCAATCTTCAATGATTTAGATCAATCGCGATCCCACAAAAAAAAGCGATGACAAACCTGTGAGCACTGATCATTGTTGTCATCCCAATATATCAATTGATGGCAGTCATTGTTGATCATATTTGATCTGTTCTGTGAACGTTTTGTATCTTCCAGAAATCTTCCAAGAAAGTGTTATAATTTGCTCTGTCTTACTGAATTTTGGATTGTGTCAACTGTGTTTTCATTAAATATCAGCAGCAGGAACGTGCTGTTGTTTTTCTCGAATTTGACTTTTTTTGATCCATTTGAATTCTATTCTTTTTTTCATGTTGTTTTCTTTTCATTACCAACAAAACATTTTTAGAATATTCTTTTTCTAGGATCCTTTTTCTTTATGTCATTGTGTTCTCGTTGTTGATGTGGCGTTGCACATTTCTTCAAAAAATAGTAAAAGCATCCATCCTCCAAAAAAGAATTACAACTAAATCACCATTTTCATTACTTGATTCGAAATATATTCATCACTACATCTGCATTCTTTATTCTCAAGAAACGAGTCAATATTATTCCTCTTTCTATCTTTCTTCATTGTTTTTGTGAAAGCAGTAGTGCTGTCGCAATCAGAATTTTATGCGAAATTCTCTTATCTCAACAATTTGAGCAAATTTCAGTTGAAGTAAATTCATCCCTCTCCTCTTTTTATCTGTCACCTAACAATTCAACAATTCATTTCTAAGAATCGTCATCGGTAGTCCGCCCCCCGCCTCACCCAGTTTCGTCCTTCAATTAAGTGAAATCTCAAGTTAGGCAGTATCGCCCACTGGTGGGCAAAAATGGTATGTGAAGATGGCGGCGATCTGAGCGAAAATGGATCGAATTTTTTGGGTTACTGCGAAGTTTCTCCCCATCTTGAAGGCACCTATTGAACATTGATGAGCATTCGAAGGAGAAGTGGACAATTTGGCCATTTATCGTTAGATATTAGGATTAGTGGACGACGTTTAGCCGTCCAGAGCGATTGAGAACTACTGCTTCGATTGTTGTTTTGTTGTTATTGTTGTTGTTATTGTTGTTGTTTTCCAGATCAAACATCACCCCGTTATTTTTCTTTGTTATCTTGTTTCCGTTCTCAATAATGTTTTATTTTCTTCCGATGTTT